GGTAAGGATGTACCTCACTGAAGATACCGGTGTCATGATATGAGAAACATTAAGATCAGTACAAACAGCCGTCTTACTAGCGGTGCACCATCACAAATCTTTCTCACTTTCTCAAATTGGGGTGTCGTGAAATGTTCAAGTTATATGATCAGTTAATCTCTATAGGACATGATTCACAGTGGTTATGAGCTAACTAAAGAAAACACAGCATAACTCATATATATCATAGTATAAGCGCACAGTGATGAAGACAAGCTACACTCTAAAGCAGGGGTCACCAACCTTTTTTAGGGTGAGGGCTACTTTAAAAAAATAAAACAAGTCGGGGGCTACTTTTACTTTTCTTTTCTTTTTTTGCGGTGTATATATTTAGCACATTTTAACATTATGATATGCTGACCTTTAACCTTTGTTTGCTGTTTGGGTCTGTGGGACCCGTTTGCAGTGTTTACTAAAAGAACATGTATGCAATCTAATTATTTTAACCTGCTTTATTTGGGGGTGGACGGGCCTCACCTCCTCCAGGGGGGTCCTCACCTCCTCTAGGGGGGTCGGGGGGCATGCACCCCCAGGAAGATTATTTTTTAATGTTGAAGTTAAATGCATCAATCTGGAGCACTTTGAGCACAACATGAATTGATGGATACAGCTCTCAACACTCAGATGAAAGAGAGCTGTATACTTTTCAATAATCCAAACATCTTTAGAATATGATCACAACCAATAACAAATCATTTAAACTGGTTTATTCTTATCTTATGTTACCTAGTTAGCATTTTTTCTTTTTATGTATACTTATTTTACTAATCACTCCCCTTTCAAACTGTTTTTTGATTTTTTTTTTCTGTCCTATAGTACACATTGGAATGATTTCTTACTTTATCTATATTAAATAGATAAAGGTATGCTCTCCCTAGCTCTCTCTCTCTCCCTCCCCCCCCAGCTCTCTCGCTCTCTCTCTCCCCCTCTCTCTCCCTCCCTCCCTCCCTAGCTCTCTCGCTCGCTCTGTCTCGCTCGCTCACAGGCTGTGAGCTCATCCGTGGCGATCGACGGCTTGCGTTAAAAAAAAATAATAAACATTTTTAAAGTGGGGGGACACAAACGGGATTTCGAAAAGTGGGGGGGACATTTCCCCCCTGTCCCAGGTGGAAATTACGCCATGCGTGTGTGTGCGTCAAGTGCAATAAAGATATGCAAGTTGCAACACACAGAGTAAAACTCTGCCCCCCATGTGTTGTATAGGCTGGCATGATAGGCTGTTCAATGGGGCTGATGTGTTGTGTAGATTCTGCCAGAAGGAAAATCTGCTTTTCTTCCAGACTGCAACGCTGGTCCCGCAAATCAAGCAAGAACGTGATTGGTAGATATTAATTTTGGGGGTGGGGGGAGGAGGGGTGTTAGATAGATATAGAGTTGTAGTAAGTAGATAGAGTTCGCTATGATTTAGGTTTCGTTTATGCATAGGGTAGATTCTTTTAATTACATTTCCTTTTTGTTTTGTGTATTTTATACATTTTGGATTTGCTTGGCGAGCTATTTTTAGAACATGCCCCGCGGGCGACTCACGTTGCCTCTGCGGGCGACCAAGTGCCCGCGGGCACCGTGTTGGCTACCCCTGCTCTAAAGCCTCAACCTGCATTATAAAAGCCTGCAGTTTAAACAAACTGAGAGCTAGTAGAACAATGTTAAAGTGAATGGGGAAGCAAACACAATATTTGTCAAAAAAACTGAATTTGACAAAAAATAAGCCTACTTAGTATGATTGTTTAAAGAAAGAAACATTATTAAAAAAAGAAATTGTATTACATGTAATATTGACAATAAAAAATGGTCTCAAAATGTATCCACATATATACTCATTACATTTATATTCACATGTGTGTCAGAATGGTCTAAGAGGGTGTTGCAGCTCCCTCTAAGATGGAGATATTAATCATATCTCATGGCTCTCCATTCATCATGTTCTGAAACTCCTTATTAGGAGTAACAGGTAAGGATGTACCTCACTGAAGATACCGGTGTAATGATATGAAAAACATCAACATCAGTACGTACAGCTGTCTTACTCGCGGTGCACAATCACAAAACGTTCTCACAATTTCAAAATCGGTGTGTCGTGATGTTTTCACAGTTGTTAGAAGTGTTGCTTCACAAAGACTAACAACAATGTCAAGATGTTCACTTCACCTCCTGCTCTTGCTAAATTTGAAGATTAATTTGTGCTGAACAGCACAAATTTGATTATAATTACAGAACAACTCATCCTATATTGTTTTCAAAGCTAATACATGATGTCTCCATTCAAGTTTGAATCCTAAATAAAACAGTGTGGCTGTAAGATATATGTACGTGGTCGATAGGTAGTCGGTTGAGCGTGATTCACACAAGGCTCATGGTAAGATTTATTTTCACATGTATGTCAGAATGGTCTTAGAGGGTGTTGCAGTTCCCTCTAAGATGGAGATATTAATCATATCTCATGGTTCTCCATTCATCATGTTCTGAAACTCCTTATTAGGAGTAACAGGTAAGGATGTACCTCACTGAAGATGTCGTCTCAGTGATGTGAGAGCCTGTTAGACCATTCAGAACAGCGGTCTTACTCATGGTTTTAAGTTTCGATATCGGAATTCGACTTTTCCCTACCACATGTAGTTGAATGTGTTTTTGCTTGAATTCTGACCTTTACTATGTTCGTTTATAAATATGTATGTTCTATTTGCTGTTCTGCCGGTTAAACCTAAAAGGAAACGTGTTCATTTGCATAACAGAGCAAACCCTGCTTTCTCATTGGTGCGCATTCACAAAGGTTTCTCTCAGTTTCTCTCAATCTCCGACGGCCGTGTATTAAAGTGTTCACATTGCAGGAACAATTTACCTCTATATGACACACTACACGCAGTCCATGTGCTTATTCTGAATTAGTTTTGAAGTTTTCAACAAAAGAAAAACACAGCGCAATTTAACATCGGAAGTGGAAGGGTTATTTTACAAAGACTAACACACATTTCAAGATGTTGACTCCCGAATCCACATCATGCATTTGCTACGTTTCAAATGTATATAAGTGCTGCTTTCTAAAGATACGCACTAAATGTTGTTGTGATAACAGGACTCACATTGATCGAATGATTAATATTTTAGTATGAATGCAAAATCATGAACGATCAAGGGACTGCCGACACGAACCAAATGCAACACAGTTAGAGCGCGACAGTGACTCATCTTGCCTAACTTTGTACTCTTTGTGTTACCTCTAAATAAACTGAACATTTGAAGCAGTTTGTTTTTTAATTCAAATAATTTTGTATTCTTCGTGTCCAGTACCCATTCAATACAATTGTTAGATGAACAAATAAGGTTCACAACACAAAAAGGATATGGAGGTGTTGGGTTTTCTTAACTAGAAAACAAAAACTGATCTCATCTTTCTCCAAAAGATGTCGCTGATTCTGAACTGTCTGACCAGACATGTATCCTACACTACTCACTTTCCTTCTAGTATGCTATACAATGCACATCAAATGTCTCAGTAACTTCTGGAAATAAAAAAAAAACGTTATAATGTATAAGTTCAAGTCACTGACACTCTACCTTGTTGCAGCCTCCTCAATTTGCCCATCAGCTGTTCAACTTTGGGCTCATGCATACCTCCACCTGACCGCAGAGCATGAACATGTCAGCCTTGTTTATAGGATATATTTTTTTAGGTTTAAATGTATAACTTGTGCTACTTCACCTTCGTTCAGCGGTATAACATTAATCAAGTCCCCAATGTTAAATCCTGTGAAAGAAAAATACATGTTAGATAAGTGAAACGTTTTGGTCTTACTTCTATAATGTCCCAATAAGCCTATACGCAAGTGTTAGATATCTAAAAGCATCACAAAGTCATAGGTATTTTTAGGTTTCCCTTATTATTTAATTTACATTATAAAGAGTTACGTTTGTTAAAGTTAACATACAAGTCTTCTGCTTAAAAGCTATTTTCAGGTTAGGGCTCAGACTGAGATAACTTCGTTTTTAGCTAACATAAACAAATGCTAATGTTTTAAAAATGTAACCATACCTACTTGACTGTAACATAGCCAATATTTGAGTGATAAGCTACATTAAAAAGGGAAATATTGAATACTAAGCCACTGCTTTTGTACTTTCCTTCACTACAGTACAGTAGGGTTGTTTTATTTAAAGTTAGCTTTAGCTTACAAGTTACACAGTCAACTGGACAGCAGACTACCGTTTATCAATATAAGAAGATTCCTTGGAAGATTCTTAAACTCAGTAATGTAATACAATTTTCCCTATAGTGACTTATATTTCAATATAAATGTAAGCTGTCGAACCTGTGGTTTCGGACATGTTTATCCAGCGAGGAGAGTCTTTTCCTAAAATATCTAAACTAACTAACAGTTCTAACCATAGACTGTATATATAAAGGTTCTAACTGAAGGAACGAGCGGAGGGATCTCAACGTTTGCCGCCAAAAGTGCGCAAACGCCAAAAGTTGACGTCTATTTTCTGAATGGATGTAGTGGCCAAACGGTGCTAGTACAACTTCAATGTTGGCCTAAAAATACCTTTTCAAATGGACTTATATTATATTATTACATTTGGGGTCTGTAATTCAGCGTATAGTTTTTTGGAGCTACATAAACGACCCAGACCAAACGCGTGTATAGCCCTTATTTAAATCTTAAGGGTCTCAACATTTGTAATTGCCTAATGGAAACATCGGCGTCACTTTGTATATAACAAAAAACCCAAATAAATACATCAAACATTACTGAGTGGGACATTTAACAACTGAAAAATAAAGTTTCAGCTCTATGTCTGACAGTTAATAAATCAACGTCTTGTATAAGTTGATTTAGTTATTTGTATAAGTTCCAAAGCTGCATAAAACTTCCTTTTTAACTGTATTATTTTCCTAGATATTATTTATTAGTAGGCTATTTCCAAATTTAACAAAACAGTTTAACACACAAAGTTGGACACAATTACATTTTATAAGTTTTAATGAAAAGCTAACAGCTGTGTAGAGGAGTGCAGTTCCACTTTGATTTAATGCAAATATACAATGAAAACAGAACTTCAAAACCCCAAAATTACTTCATCTATACACATCACACCACTAAGGAGTGCTTTGTACAAGTACACGTTAGTTAGATACAAACACAAACGTTAAAAAAAAAGAGTTTACCAGGGCTGCCTAACAACACCGTGTCTCTCATAAACAGGAATACCTGTAAATTGTGCATTATCAGCACATGCAAATGAGAGGGTCATGCAAGAGGTGAAAAATCTGAACAGAAGTTACAGAATAAAAAAATGTTCATGTTGAATATGTCAGTCGAGTGGTGTGTGTTTATGTGCAAGGAGAATTCTGTCTTCCAGTGCATGTTGATTCCTTTAGCTTGTGTATATAATGGTTTCACCATCCCCTTAAGTAAGTCCAAACAACAGTTTTAGTTTGTTTTTCTCAACACCAGTTTAAACAACCTTCAAATCAACGCTGGTATCTACATCAAGCTCAATAAATAGATACGTTATAAGTCCGTCGTCCATTTACTTCCTAAAAGCTAATAATGAAGTTCTGAAACCTGGATTTGCTTGGTATAGAGGTGGTCAGGAATTCCAAAACTTCCTTTTTTTGTTCACATTAGGTAATAAGAAAAATAAAACACAGCACTACATTTGTACTTCACATTAATGACCAGATAAGAGGAAATCAGTAAGAACAGTAAAGAAAAAATATAAGGGGACACATCAGCTTATGAATCATAGGAATTATTTATACTAAAAACTAATTTCTCTTTCCTTTTGAAAAGATGTCCGTAAGAATATACGGTTTATAAATACTGCTTTATGTTCATGTTAAGTTATATACATCCAACATTGATCTTCATTCTCTTGCCATTATAATATTTAAGTTGCTGTACTCGATCAGTGAAGTTCTGATATCAGAGCAATTCTTTCCTGAAAAGCAACAAATCCAAAGGAATCACTTCAGCATGCCATTTGGGGGCAGGGGGTAAAGGGGGGTGGGGTACTGGCTTCATATACACTAATACATTTAACTATTTACAGCTGTGACAAGCAATTCCGAGATATTCCTCTGTTAGCTCTAAAGAAACATAACACGCTTTTAGTTTTGTTTCCAGTGTTGCCATGCAGAGTTAATTAACATCAGCGGGCTCAAAGGGAGAGATCTGTTTGGGGAATCAGACGGATTGAAAAATGGGTATTTCTAGCACTAATTTGTTTTCAAGCAAAGCTGGTTTGCATCAATATTAGGCACTACAGATTCCATCCCCGCTCTTCCTCTGTTTAATCGCTAAGCAAGGCAAGGCCGAGTGCCATGCATCCACGGGATAACATGTGTTACACTGTAGGAGCTGAGTCACACTGAAAGTATGGGTAAAGGTAATGTAGCCATTATGTAGCTACCAGTGTTAGTAGAAGCAGAGGAGAGTTACAGCAACAAGTGGTCAAAAAGACAGATCATTTTGACATTAATTGCAAAAAAGGTGTGGGTGTGATAGGAGAGGAAAGGAAGTGTGTTATGGGACAAAGTGAAACAAAAGTTTAAAGAGTTAGAGAGCATGTTAGTATTAACATTTCACAATAAAAAGGAGCCATTCTTTATCTCCCTGCCTATTTCATTTAATTATTTCATTCACGGGAACGTCCCACAATAGCCAGGATGTAGAGGAAGATGTTGATGATGTCAGTGTAGAGGTTGAGGGCGGCAAAAACGTATTCCTCTGGACTCAGAGACAGCTTCTTGTTGCCCAGGAGGAGCTGAGTGTCCACAGCCAAAAACTGCAGAGAAGAAACAAGGCTTTAGTGGTTTCATGAGATTTCTACACTGTGGATATAAGATTAATAGCATAAAAATGTATCAGCTGTCATTTCAGAAGTAACAAATACAACCGTAATAAACAAAAATGCCATAATACACTATAATTCAAATAATTCTAAAATAAATATATACATTTCAATTATTATTCAAGGTAACTTGGCGATACATATCTGAATTGATTCCGACACTTCACACAGAGAACAGCTCTTTAAAGAAATATTAATACAGCGGGGGTGCAAATGGACCAGTACACATCGCTAACAATTTACTTTTACCATTAGCAAACGTATACATTAAACTGCAATCTCAGTTTCATTAGCATTCATCCCGAGGGCTCAACCTCAACATTTTATAAACCACTTCCAGTATTTTGGCGCTAGTCTAACCTTCGAGCTCATGGATCTAAGGTCTTACTGGAATCGTATTTCTTCAACTGACCAACTTAAGGCAACACGCTCACACCTATGAAGGGCTGCTTTTGGTCTGAATGTCTATTTAGGCTTTGAGCAACACTAGATAGTATTGCCCCATTCTTTCATGTTTTATTGGCTTTTCCTAACTTCTCAATGTCTATACTGTTGTATATTAAAGTTCAATGTAGCCATTTTGTCTGCTTGGCATCATCAAATGCATCCTATCACATCTTCTTCCTCTTCCCTTCGACAAAAGACATATATTTTACTCTCCGTATTATAATATGTTCAGTGTTTGAACAGCTGCTTTGGTTGAGTTTAGGTCATATATTTAGATTTTAATAACAAGTTAGCTTCCCACTTTCCTCCTGCTAAGCATTAATCTTTTTCCAACTCCGATTGAGCTTTTATTCCTAATCATTCTGGAGATGCAATTATACCTTAAAGAGCAGAATAAAGTTCACTAGTAGGAGGAAAACCGTCTGGATGCCAATGCTGACGACTGTCTGGTAACTGAATCTAAACGACTGGATGCATTACCTCACAGATATCAAATGACCCAACTTGAGAATGACCTTTGATAATATGAACTGTAATGACATTCAAATGATCCTTACTGTTGCACGAAATGATCAGAAATGTTCAACATAGCATCACAAAGTAAATACAAGCAACCGTCAAATGTGGAAAGGGATTGTTTTTGAAGGACAAAGAGAATGTGAAACGTACGCAGGTGAAGAGCAGGGCCCCCAGTGAGGAATAGACGATGTCCAGGATCCTGTGGCGGATGAAGATGCAGAGGATGGAGAAGAGCAACAGCACGATCAGGCACACAAACAGCACGCCCTGACAGGAAGTGAAGTCATACTTGCTCTGTGGTGAAGAAGGGTAGAAAAGAAAGGACCAGAAAATATGAGGCATGATAAAACACAAGGCTTTGTAATTCGACTAATGGTTAATTCTATTTACATTACAACGCAGAATAATGACAGGTACCTATTTAAAAGTACAAATCTTTGGTCATGATCACTGAGAATTTCATATGAAACTTAAAGGATGTAAAATATATTGGTTCCCTTTTTATACACACACATACCGGTTGTCATACTGTGTGAAAGGCCCCACATCAGCATTTTATACATGTTTTTTTAGCTTGTCCCTAAATGATAAATGCACACCGATGTCTTTGTTAGTAAAAAATGCTTAGTGTGTTTGTTTTAACTAACCAGAATGAATTCTCACATTTGCTTTTGAACCAGAGGGCTGATGTTGTCTTTAGACTTTCAATTTAATTCATACAAGCAGCTGTATGTATCCACTGACCTGTAGTGAGAAGAGCACGACCGTGAAGCAGACCACTGCAGTGATGCCCACGGCCATGATGACCGTCTCTGTGTCATAGAAGCTGGCGATCATGCCCACCATGTAGGAGAGGCTCAGGGTCAGGATGGACTGCAAGGCACAGAACACACACACGGTCACATAAACATCCTGAAGACACACTTTACATGTTGTAGATTCAGGTGAGACTAAGGAAAGGTGGACCATAAGCAAAACAAGAAAACACCTATGCAGTCTCATTATAATAGATATGTTTGGAATAACAAAGACTCACTAATGTAGAACTAGTTTATTTGACTTATTGCTCTCAGGTCTGATTCAATTTTTCCTCATTTATATTGCAAACAAACTGTTTACATATCATGTAAGTAGACTTTTTACTTTTAGAAACAGACATTTTTTATTATTATTTGGCATTATGAGTAGTTCTTACCAGTGCAATCAAGTTCCAGGGGTGCTTGCGGCGGAATTCTCCACAACAGCTGAGGGTGATCAGGGACACGAGAAAGACCACGTAGGACACATAGTATGTCCATGGATTACGTCGCACAAAGACCTTTGCTTCGTCAACAAAGGTGAAGATGGCAACAAAGGAGAAAGTGATCAGCAGCTGCACCGTGAGAACCGCGAAGACCTGGTGGGAGAAAAGATACAAAGCAGGTGAGGTGCAAAACTATTTTTTGGTGGTATTTAAATGTGAGTCATATTATATGTTATGTTTACTTCTTTATTAAACCCATCTTATATAGTTCATACGATAAGGGACCTACCTTTCTGATGAAGGCTTGTCGGATGGTTTTGTCCTCAAAACCAGAGTTGGTGAATTCCTCATTGTCGTAGTAATTTGGAGGAACATCACCTTGGTAACCAGGGCTGCCTGCAGGTGCTGCTGAACAACAATCACAGGACGAGAGTTTAACAACGTGCAATAAACAACTGGACATGTGTCTGAGCCTTGTTCACCACACTGTGATTGTAGCATTGATAATCTCATTGATTGCCCAGTCATGTGTGTTGAGTCTGATCTAAACTGGATGTTGTTGACCTGGATAACATACACAGTTCTTCTGGCACTCACAGGCCTTTAGTGTGACACTTGTGTTAAGTTATTTTCAGTCCTAAATCAAATGTCTTTGTTGGATTTATTTATTTTTAATCACCCTCATTCTGTTTTACCTTTCTTCTTCTTTTATTTGAATATAGGTTTTATACTTAAACTAACTGGATCAAATGCATACAATGGTACAAAACATCCATATACATTTTTTACATTTTCAGATTACATTCAACATTTCACTGAATCTGGGAGGCGTGTGGTGCAGTGGGTTGTGTGTTGGTTTTTGGATCAGGTGGTCACAGGTTCAAACCCCACTGCAATCAGCATGTCATTGTGTCCCTGGGCAAGACACTTCACCTCAAATTGCTCCTGTGGGGATTGACCACAGTATTGAGTATGTAAATCGCTTTGGATAAAAGCGTCTAACAAGTAACATGTAATGTAATCTAGTCCTGCTAAAATGTTGCCTAGGTTTTTTTGTATGGGACATGATCAGGGTCAAATGACAGGATGTGCTAATGTGAAGGAGGGGAACGGCTCTATACTTCTATCCTGCTTTGTCATGGTTTATCACCTCTGTAACACATTAAGGTATCTTAAAACAAAACATATGGTGGCCTAGAAAGTTTATTCATAATACTTCAAATCTTTGGTTTCACCACTCACCCATTGGGTCACCGGCAAAGCCTGGTTGTGCGGGCCCTTGCTGATAAGGCCCTTGCTGATAAGGCCCCTGGGGGTAGGGTTCCTGTGGGTAGGGCATCTGAGGGTAAGGCATCTGAGGGTAGGGGCCAGGGGCGCAACCCGGGCCTGCCTGGGCGAAGCCCGGCTGGCCGTAGCTCGCTGCTGGTGGGTACGGCCCCCCGGGGGCTTGGCTGTAGTTGGGAGGGGGCATGTCGAACCCTGGCTGAGGGGGTCCGTAGACACTGTTATGAAGTGGGTTGTTCTCACCCATAACAGGGTATCCACTCTTATCCTGGGACATGATGAGGGGGAAGGCTCACTCTGCTACAAGTACAACATAAGAGAAGAAATGAAGCAGAATTACGATCAGTTTGCTTATACAAAGATACCTTGCCCAAACTCTTTAAATATACGGTATGTTGCCCAAAAATGTAAACATCTCAAGAGTCCCAGAAGAGAGCAGAGGAAAGGTTAAGATGGTACACTATCCGAGCCAAACTGGCAGAGACACAGGCACTGCATATCCATGATTAAAATGTGGCAATCAGGAGATGCTGCAGGGAGGGAACAGAGGTATTGGGAAGAGCCATGCTTTCTGTTTCACAAAAAAACATCGAGGATTGTTAGATTAAAATAAATTGGTATTATATTTGTTCCTTTTTTGTATCACAACATGACCAAACTTCTGAAAAATGTGATTTACATATGAGAGTCAAAGAGAAGAAAAAATAGTGATCTATGAGTTTACGCTGTGGTATTTAACCCATCCGGAGCAAGGATTCTGTCATAAAACAAGTGTCTCTACAAACACCCGAGGACAACTACTGATTATTGTCATTTTCAATTGCTCCACGGAATATATTCCAAATATCTTTATCAATCATTTGGGTTATAAACTTCTGTGAATGACCCTGATCTAATTGAAAATGTACACCTGTAATCACAGGCTACATTCATACCTTCATAAAACTGTTGATACTACACACTGGTTTTAAGGATTTAGCCAGACAAAGTGAATAGATGAATGGGGAGAGAGAGACATTGAGAAGACAGCAAACAGTGACCAGAGAGATAGTATTACGAACACACAGGTGGTGTCTTGGTTACCAAATGTATCACTAATCCTGCCTTGACATATTAGCCATTACTGCAGTGTCCTTCCCCCCCCGCCCGGGCCCCTGTACATCCTGGTCAACAGGTTTCTGTGCCAGTTAAAATGGCCTCTATAATGCCAATGGGGCATCTACATGAGGAACAAAGTAGAAAACAGAAATCTCTCTGCAAGTGAGATAATGTTTTTAAGTGCTTTCAAATGTGTTTGTACAGGTTTATATAGAAGTCCTGCAGGAGAGCCTCTGCAGAGCAAGGTGGGAGCCAAAAGGCATTCTCCCTATTGCTGACTTTCAAATAAATGCTTGAGTCTGCAGCTGACAGACTTTGAAGTGGTGCATAGGTCTGTGGGGTTTAAAGGGGACAGATCACGACAAGGGACAAGGCATTGTTGTTGTGTTTTTCCAATTGTATTCTTTGATGCTTCAATCCTTGTAGTAGAGACAAATCTGAAATATCTACAGCCATATCTAAAACTAACATCAAAACAATATAGATTGATAACTAGCACTACAGTTAAGTGGTGACTGCATTTAGTACAGCTGTGCATATAACGCATGGTTATACAGACATACTCTCAGTCTTTATACTTCCTTTAAAACCCTCTACCAAAAATAACAGTCCAGAAATATCCATTCAGTGGCAGATTAGAAAGCTAAAAATCCAGCTAACCGTTTTATACTCCCTCTATCTTCCTCTCTTTCCAGGCCACCCTGTAAGCGTTATGCAACAATGCTCTATTTCTAGCACATGCATCCAGACTCTGGTGTGTGTCTTTACCATCTCCGTCTGTCCATCACTGGGACAGTGCAGTGAGACTGCAGACAAACATGGCGAGTGCCGGCTCTGCTTCATACTGACAGTCTTCATAAGATCATAACAGATTACAATCATTATCTGAGGAGCCAAATCCCTCCTGGCTTTCCACACAACAATGGTTACGTAAGGGGGGGCATATATATAACACTGAGTAGGGCCATTTTGATTAACTCTAAAATCAAAGTATTGATCAGGGACATTTTATATTGAAATCAATATTGGTTTAATACTAAAAGATCATTCTCTTGATCTCAGATGACAAATACACTTCTCAACAGTTAACACAAATAAGGTTTTAATTGATTGCATTAGAAAAGACGATGTAACTGAATAACCCAAAAGCTCTTAACTAATCATGTGCCACACACTGCCACACACTGCCACACACACACACACACACACACACACACACACACACACACACACACACACACACACACACACAACACACACACACACACACACACACACCACACACACAACACACACACACACAACACACCACACACACACACTACACACACACACACACACACACACCACACACACACACAACACACACACACACCAACACACACACACACACACACACACACACACACACACACACACACACACCACACACACACACACACACACACACACACACCACACACACACACACACACACACACACACACACACACACACACACACACACACAGAAAGCATGTGACCCACTCCATGTCCAAAGTCAATTGCTTGAAATGACCGTTGGACAGGGAGGGCCCTGTCTAATGTACATTTCATGCATTAAGTTTGTAACTCAGGACAGGGAAGAGTTTGCCATCTATGTCAGTGCGGGGCTGAAATCACATGGAAAATAATACAGATGTTACTGACTCTAGCTCTTTACACTATTCATTTCTAGGTCTATAAAATGTCAGTAAAAATAAATGCATATCACATTTTCCTTCAAAAAGCTTGATTTGTCCGACAAACAGTCCATATCTCCCACATATTCTGTTGAATGTTAAAAATATATATATAGCAAAATACCCCCCAGGCCTTATACACATTTCCAAATTGTAGAAAAGGCTTGAGGATATCCTGTAAGTCATGTTTAACAGAAGTGACTTGATTGTTTTTTTAGTATGATAGATAAAACACACAACACGGTCTAGTGAATTCCAGAAATGCGCATTAAGTCAAAACTGGTTTTGGTCCTTCAGTAAAGAACATTAAAATGAAGTGCTATCTTTAACAGACATTCACTCCAACCACACACAGTCAATACAGTGTTTGTTTTATTGTAGTGGGTGAGACTTTGTGCAGCTTTTCAAGCATTACGTGGCTGAATTTAAATCCTCTTAGGACAGATGCCCGACGCTAGATGGATAAGGGCAGTGCCACTGTCTCTGGCCTCTGCTGATAGCTATCGCTAGAGGAATTATGCTGGAGGGGGGGGGGGGGGGTTCAGTGTGCTGAGAGAGCCACGTTAACACAATTAGGCTAGCACAATACCTCGACAAACCCATACACAACATGCCATGTGCATGCCTGAGCAACACCAGGAAACCCAGTGACAAAACAGGACCAGCCACACAAAGAGGCAGGGCTTATTCAAAGTGGAGAGTTAAAATATGTGGTGTCACAAAGGGTGAGAAGTGAGAAGCTGTGATCTCTGATGGAGGGTGAATTAAATGTAATAAAACATTTATTTAAAATAATACGTTTACAGCTTTTGAACATGCAATTTCTTTCTAAAAGTAATAAACATCACACTGATTGTTATTAAAAAATAAAATGCTGTATCACAGTCACATGAGTGATTAATCTGTGGTAATCGTTTTGCAACCGGTAGAGAGAAACCAGCTGATTTTCTTATCAGACCTCAAAGCACTACATAATGACAACACGAAAATTCGCAGCTGTCATATAAGCTTATGTCCATACAACATATTTACAAGTTTTCCATTACAACACTTACATTTCATACATTAGTAGGAGAACACTTTTTTGTTGAACCATTATAAGGTGACATGTTACACTAATGCTCTAATAAAAGGTGTCTAATTTATACCTAGCTTAGAGTTTGACATTAATGATGTATGTATGTGTAAGCAGTTGCCAATTAAAGAGGCGTTCTTAAACATACTGAAGCTTGCTTTATTTCTCTAGTCTGTTCAAAGTAAACCCTCTCAACCTTGAAAAACGAAGTGAAGCTGCAATAGAAAAGTTGTTATCCTGATCGTATACGTTAACCCTGTTTCACACCCAGATGGTCACACAACAGCAGACACAGCCACTAACCTCACTTATTATAAGTCTCCTCAGATTGTTCTTAAATGAAATAACCCTTGACTTTAAAAAATCCATCATTGTGAAACTGTTTCACAAGTAGAGCAAAAGTCATTAGCTCTGCATGGCATCATGCATGTCCTTGTAACCTGCTGTCAGGGAAGAACAGAGAGGCCGTTTCAGTCCAAGCTTAACGTCATAAGACATAAAACATCTTGTCATTGTAGGCGTTTAACTAAATTAAGTTTGGTAACCTTCAGTGAGCAGACACAAGATAGAAACAAGACAATCTTATGCTATGATTTATTCCTTTAGCTTAATTTCACACAGGACAGTCAGAACGTAAATGGAGAACTACAACAAAAACATTCAAAAGGGTCCAGAGTAGTCTGTACATAACAAAGGAATGTTTTGGGCTGTAGCGGAGACAGTGAATTTGGAAGTATTTGGAATATTCATGTAGAAAGCCTGATGTTTAGGTATCAACAACACATTTCACCACAAATGTATGGGCTTCAAATATTTTCAGATTAAACAGGACAGTACTCTTCTGGACTAATGACGACATAACATGTGTGTAATATGTGTGTATCTGTGGGTATTGTCCACAGTAATAACTGTTACATGTCTAATATGTGTAATATGTAAAGCGCTTTGAGCACCTGGAAAAGCGCTCTAATACAAATTGTATTAATTATTGTTATTGTTATTATTATTATTATTATTATTATTATTATTATTATTATTATTATATGACAACAGCCCAAAACCCAAATATATTCATTACCATAATATAAATCAGAAACTGGTGCAACTTAATGTTTAGCATTGGAGCTCAAATAGTGACTATAACTTTTGATCGAATATATCAGTTCATATTTGTCTGGTCAGGTTACATCATTGGTGGAAAGTAACTGTACACTTAGTCAAGTACTGTACTTAAGTCAACATTTGAGGTACTTTACTTGAGTATTTCCATTTTATCCTACTTTGTACTTCTACTCCACTACAATTCAGAGGTAAATGTTGTACTTTTACTTTAGATATACCTGGATTAAATTCACAATTAGTTGAAATTAGTTTCGCTAATAAACAAATCAATACATCAATAATTATAATCAAAACATATAATAACATAATAATTACTCCTATTTTTTTTAACTTTTAGTATATTTAGATACCAATACCTTTGTAATTTAACATTTTGAATACAGGACTTACTTGTAAAGAGTATTCTGGCTCTTTGGTAGTTCTGTTTAAGTACAACATTTGAGTACTTCTTCCACTTTTGCTTAAAATACACCAAAATGCAAGGGAGATTACACGTGAACTGAACACCACTCTGAACACAGAAGGTGATATGACAGCTGTTTCGAGATTATGCAAAACAGACACATGACTCCAACATAAACATGGGCCTCGTTTTCCGGCAGCACCTGCAGCGGCCGCACATCCCTCTCTGTAGGCCTCACCACCGCAGATAAACACTGCGACAGCGCGATCATCTGTTACATCAAACTGACACATATAAACCCCCAAGCTAGCAACACCACCACTGTATAAAACACGTGTATAACCTGTGAGTTATAAGGCTGTAGACATGGTAAACATCAAGTATCCCGGATGTTGAATCCATCAAATAAGTATTTTTTTGGACGATGACCACAGCCTGCGCCCGCACGTTTACAGTGCTGAGCTGTCAGTTTCCTTTAAAGCAAGATATTAGTTGGCCAGTACTATCTAGATGTTACATTTTCTTTTAAAAACATCCGTTTGGTTAATTCCCCGCTCCCTCTCTTGCCGTTAGGTGACAGCAGGCGGGATGATGCTGACCGTTGCTTACCACATCCTGCTCGCTAGCCTCAAAAACAGGGTATTTAACGACTGACAAATGAATAAATACTTTCTACAAATAAAACACACACACCGGGCAAACGTACAACCAATATACTTTAACACACGTACCTTTAATGTGTCAAATGGAGAGTTTCAGCCGACATTAACGCTCCCTCCTCCTCCTCCTGATCTATGTGAACAACTGGGTCGAGAACTGCTGCTGACGTCACCACCACACGGTGTTATCACGTGGTGTGTGGGAATCTCCGCGTGTTATAAAATGACAAGTTAGCTGCTCTCTGAATGACGCAGTGTTTTTCTGGGAGTGAGAAAAAAAAGGTTGTGCAGTCAAGGGTCTGTCTTGGGTTTACTAGCTAAATACTGCAACCGAGAGATCTAGATGTAACTGGAGGCAGGTGGGAGAAGTGCTCAGATCTTGTACCTGTATTCAAAATGTTACAGTTCTTTGGCATCAACACTTACTTAGAGTACCAAAAGTAAAGTAGGCTACTCTTTATGCAGATTGCCCCAATTCAGAATAATATATGATATGTTTTGATTATAGTTATTTATGTATTAAAGTGTTATCAAAGCTGGTAAAGGTGCAGCCAGTTTGAATTACTTTGTATACTGCAGGGTAGCTTGTGAATGTTACTCCAGGTTTATCACATCATTAATCCAAATCTACATCAACTTTTGTACCTCAACTTCCCTGCAATTTTAAAGGAAATATTGAATCAACTACAATTAACTGACAGCCTACTCTATACTTTGCAGATTCAGATTATAATATAATAAATACATTAATGATGGTGTTTTAGATTGTACAACGAGGAAGTATATATTTTTGTTAAAATTAGCCCTACCTGCTTTCAACCTTAGCACACATTTTTGTATATAATATTTGTATTCAAGCTTTAATCAGTTTTTTCAATCAAGTACCTGGAGGTCCTTTAATGTAGCTTCTGTTGCGTATTGTGTGTGTTTCGGCTTGATGTGATATCATGTATTTTGTTCAATATTTCTGGTGAAATCAAGAATCTGAGTATTTCCAACGCTGTTTATTATTAAACGTTATGGTGGTCTGCTGCCACAGTCACCCAAGTCTGTTTAACATTATAAACTGGTAAACACAAATATTTTTACTTTCTGTACACAATATGAACACGTATTGCTTCTGAATTCACATAAAAAATACTATTTTATATTATCAATTTAAATAGCTATTTGCAAATTGTACAGATATTCTGTTTTCGGCTAAAAGCAAATCGCCTAATGTGCATGAACCATTAAGGCTAAATCATGGCTTGTTTGACCCTTTTAGTGGGCCACTTCATGCGTAAGAAGTACAGTATGTGTGAGGCCATGTTGACCCTGTGTTTGTGAATGAGTTAAAACACAATGTATTTAGGAACATTTAACATGTCAATATTGACACACATTCTCTAACACATAGACAAGTAAACATTTCAACTGATAATGTGCTATAAAAGGTGCATATTACCAAAGAAATGTGTAGATGACTCCAAACTGAGTCACCTTAAAAGCTGAAGGTCTTGGGTTTGTCTGGTTAGTAATCCAACCTTGTGAGAAATGATACAGAGCGAAACATGTTGGCCTTACATAAACAAATGTTCCTGAAATGCTGGTTCAATTTGATAAACGTAATATGGATTTGACATATTTGTATTATTTGTCACGGTTTGGATCATGAAACACACAAATCTCCAAAGAATACCATCTACATATTATACAATCAGTGTAACAGTCACTCATCACAGTTTCGTTTTACAAGCCTTGTTTTAGTTTGCCTCGTTGCTAACATTCTATTGCAGGGCAAACGTTGTTGTGTGTTCAAACATGTGACACATATGTGACCGCTGACATGGCAGCAGCTACTGGTGGTACGGGCGGCTTCGTAGCAGATTGTCCAGATCAGTCTTGTTGATCGTGCCATAGGCCTGGCAATAGCTGCCCAGTTTGGCTCGAGGGTCGCCTGCTGCGGCCACATTACAGTTACTCTGATACACTTTCTTGCTGAAGCGTGTTGGGGGCCGAGCCTCACGAACCGGAGGGTTGGAGCGCTGGTTCTGCAAGGGAAGAAAAAGAAAGTTAGACATACCTCGTTTGGCCACTCCATCTTCATATTAGTAAACTATAGAAAAAGACAATTTCCCTGACTGTTCAAATGCGTCATGGGCAAAGGTGAAAAAGTTAGTGAGTTCTTTAAATAAGGAGTGATAAGATTGACTTAATCATGTAAATGAGCCGTGACAAAGGGTGAAAACAATGTAAGCAATGAGGTAAGTAATAAAAGAAGTGGACAAATACAACTATTTTCATGTGTTCTACCTCTAAATCAATATTTCATCATGTATGTAAATAACCTTAAATTGCATTGTGGCATTGAGTCATAAGTCCTGAGGAGTGGTGGACTGACCAGGCGGGCAGATGTGACGTACAGCCCAGAGGGCAGGGAGGGCTCTTCCTTGCGAACCAGCGGGTGGTTCTGGGTTTGGTTTAAGGTCGAGGAGAAGGAGCGGGTGTGGGCCACAGGGGCGGAGCGACCACGCTGGAGAATCTGATCCATGGACTTGTGAGGGTAGTGATAAGAGAGAGCAACATACAAAGTGAGATACAGAACTATTGCGAGTAGGAAACAGTGCAAGAAGATAAAAAAAGAAAGTAAAAACGAAACAAGATCACATCACAGCAAAGGAAAACAAAACTGAACATTGAGTGAGCTGAGGTCTGTTGATTACTTCATCAGTGTTGGTGCCCTCTGTTGGTGATGTTGTTGCACTTCCATTACTGGTCGGTCCCACGAGTTTCCTGCCTGCTGCAGTGGAGAAGCCGTGATGAGGAGGACCAGCCGGACTCCGGACAAAAGCATCTGAATAACACAAAGAAGAAGCTGTGTTTTCTATCTGAGGGTATATGTATTAATAGTGTGTGTTTGAGACCCAAATACCAAAAACAACATTCTTTTGATATGTTATGTTAACCCTAACCCTAACTCACTTTAGTACACAGGGGACTTGGAGGTGACATTATTCAGGTCTTTACGCTTGTTCACAGAATATATAATACAACACCTGTAATCCACTTTTGGAATAATGGGTTTAAGAAGAACTTAAACTGAATCCCATTGAGATGTCTCCAAAAGAGAAAAAATCATTTTATACTTTGGGTTTTAAAAGTGTAGGAGGATGTAGAGCAGGATATTTTGAATAATTATAAAGCTGCTTTGTGAACTTGTGAAACAATTGTTACTTTAAACAAGCATACAAAACATTTAATCAAATTACAAATCTTCCCAGTATTTAATACCCTGTGCTATGAACATATTGTATAATAATAATAATAATAATAATTCATGGGATTTGTATAGCGCTTTTCCCAATGCTCAGAGACACTTTACATACAATCAAAAGTAACAAAGCGCTGAGGTTCAACACCCAGCCCTGTTTGGAGAACAAGTAATTCAGACATACTTGGGGCATGTGTGATGGGGTTGTAGGTGAGTTTTCCCAAACCGTCGGGACTCGATAAGGGACTCGATAAAGGACTCGTCTTCTCCACAGCAGGCGGGGTTGACACAGGCGCAGGTTCAGGGACGGCTGTTTGTAAAGGCTCTGGGTTTGACTCTTCAGTCTTTACGTGTTGTGTTTCCCCCTTATGGTCATTGTCCCCACTCGCTTTGACTAGTCCCTTCTCTACTTTCTCCTTCACATTGGGCTTCTCAACGCTTCTGACAGAGCGTCCGTCCTTTAGCTGGATCAGCCTCAGCATCCCCTGATTAGTTCTCCTCTCCAGCATCATCTGCAGGTAGAGAGGAGGATCATTGGGGTTAATAACTGTGATCAGACCAAAGGTCAAAATGATTTTTTGCAATACACTTCTTTGCAATATGGCCTACTGTGTAAAGATGACATTGTTGTTGTTTCCTTCTGAACCTTTCAGACTCATTTTGTACCTCATAAAGTTTGTTGCGGTACTGAACCACAGATAGTTGTACATCATCATCCACTGGAAGCACTACATCGTAGTTAAGGGCGGGCTCCTTGGCTGGATTGTGAAACCTCCAGAGACAGAAATTATAGTAAATGAAAGCACTAAATGGTAATAGGTTCCTATTATTTAAATACTTATTTCAATTTAGCACGGGCAGAAAAACAAACAGAAAAACTATCGATTTTAACCATTTAACTAAGCAACAGAAGATTAGACAATAAAACACATATCTCTCAATCATTTTGCTGTAAGGAAAACCACAGGTACTTATCTATCAATGAATTGGAATTCTTGATCTTTAATACCTGGCTACATATGGGTGTTGCAGGGCTTGCTCAGCGGTCAGTCGCTTGTCTGGGTTGAAAACGAGCAAACCTCTCAACAGGTCCAGAGCATCTGAAGGCACAGAAGGCTGGAGAAGATCCTCCAAAGGCACCTGTGGTCTGGGGAAGGAAGGAAGAGCCATATTTAAAAGGATTTTTTGGGATGTTTAGCATCGTGTACTATTATTTTAAAAAGGGATTACAAATAATGAAATGTCTCAGAATGAGAAATATTGTCTTTTGTATTCCATGCATCCATCTTATCAAAACCATACTGTACACTTAATGCAATGAAATCTCCTATCACAAACCTTGTTCATAAATGTTGTTAAGAAAGCACCAGGAGGAAGAAACTCAGTTGAGAGGACAATTTTGAGGTGTCAATATTTAACTAAGAAGAGTAAAAGATGGATAAATAAGAATACTGCTACTTTTTAAATATAGCAAAGCTTTGGAGATTATTCAAGCAAACAATTAGACTCTCCCTGTTCTTTTCATTTCTCTGCAACAAACATGAAGAACTGCCCTTTTCAACAAGGTGGTGTTTCACAGCTGTCATTGCTTAGTTTATGATGCTGCTTTGTCACTGTTGCGTCATTGCACCTCTGCAATAATCACTACTGCTGCTCTCAGAGCGTGTTATCAGACTCTTGAAAGCTCTGATAATAATCTTCAAAGTGGAAGGGAGGAAATGTGTTATCGTCACTAACAAAACTAGCTCTATACCAGGAGTTACAAGTCGAGAAAAGGCTAAGCATGATTATTAAATCACATAATAATACAAAACGTTTTCTTACTTTAGTAACATTCTCTGAATCACAGAGGATCCATATTCAGACTTGATTGCTAGAATATCTGAAAAGGAAATTGCATTTAATTAATTCATAGTGATGATTGCAGTCCTTTAC